CCTTGCCTTACCTTACCTTAATACGTCAGTACGTATAAGTGATCTGTGATCTGTGAGGGTCCGCCCGCAGGCGCATTGTGTATACCGAGGCGGTGCCCGGTGCCGAACCTGTCGGACCTTGAGACAGCGTTGTAGATCCCTGGGCGAGGGTGATGGCGTCCCCGTCGGGAAGGGCTGTCTGCAGTGGTGGTCTACCGTCACCCCGCCAGCGGCCCGGCGGGTTCGGCTTAGACCTCCACTGTCTGTCGGCGCCAAACCACCTCCCACCGAGGCGGGCAGGTTGCGCGCGTGAGCAGACTGCCCCGTTGGAGGTAGGCCGCTCGTCTAGCCAATCAGCCTTAAGCGAGCGGCCTGGCCGTTGGAATGGCCGAGAGTGTCGGCCGGCCGTTCGGTCTCTTCCCCGGGGGGGGCCTCAATGACCTAGTTGCCCGGCCGAGAAGGGGAGGACGACTGTCCCTGACGGCGAACCTCAGTTACGAGCCGCCCTCCCCTCGAGACGCGAGGCCAGTGCACTTGGGGCCGAGCCCCAGTATTAGTAGTAAGTAAGCCGTACGTGTGTTACGTCTACGAGTTGCTACGAACAATCCCGCGGGATCCGCTCGCAACGAGGAGTATGCTCACCTCGGCCTGGATCACGTGCTCTGCTGAGTGTGGAAATAGTACGGTGCCTTCCTCTCACTCGTGGGCTCCACCCATACGTGGTAGAGATCTCATCTGCCTGGCAGCTGCCTCTGCGCGTCCTGTGGATGTACCTTTGTCGCGCGCCGGAGATGACTCGACGCCGCTGAGATCGGAGATTCAAGCTCTGACAGGTCGCACGTCGCTCCTTTGACGCCGACGTGACTCACCCGTGCAGATCACATCAGGACACGGTCTCGACGCGCTCGGTACGACGCCTGCGACCCGTCTTGGGTCAAGTGGCACGACGCTCATCGCGCCTACCAGCGCTGCCGTACAGGTTGCCACGACGAGGTCGAGCACGCTTCTATACGCTCGCCCAGCCTCCCTTTCCATCCCATTAGGCAGCATGGGAACGGTGGCGAGCAGACGCAAAGCCTACGAGGGGTGGTGGAACCACATGTCGCGGCTACTGCCGGCTCGACCCCACGATAGCCTCCGGAGGCTGACTTTGCGGCACCATCATCGGACGATGTCGACGAGTTGGGTCGCGCTCGCGGTAGCCAGGTAGCCCCCCATACTAGTAGCACCGGCCATGGCCGCAGGAAGCTCGGGGGAGGGCGCTGGGAGCAACACGGAGCTCCGTTGGACGCGTTTTCAAGATTAGCGTGTCAGAGTGAATTGGAACTAGCCTAACATAGTATACGGTCTGTGAAAAAATGAGTTTGCTCCGCGCCTCCGGCGCACCTCCCACGACGATGGACGATCCGATGGTCGATGGTTCGATGCGATGACTACCAATCGAAAATCGAATAATGCTGCCATGGCGCATGGGCCCATGCATCAAACACCTCACGTCCGCACACACGCGAGCACACAGACAGCACATGCACAGCCGCCTCAACAGACACGCACGCACACAGCACACGCACCACCCGCACGCCGCACCCCTGTTGCCCCGTACTGACGTACCGCAAGAAATGCGACTGACCCTGAAGGGGTCGTACTGGCTGGTGAGATGCCGATCACATAAATAGGGTGCGCCCGACACCCGCAACGCGAGTTGCTTGTGCGGGTGTGAGCGGCTACCGGCCTCGGGCGCGCCCCCCTCCTCCCCGCCACGAGCCTCTGCTCGCGCACGAGCAGCGGGCGCCGGGGCCCGTGGCCCCGTGGAGCAGCCTCAGAGGCTCGTGACGACGGTGTTGTACACGCAGACCGGGATCAGCACCAGCCCGATGGCGAGCAACAGTGCCGCCGCGAGCTTGCGTCTGGGCACGGAGGACGACTGGGCGGTCCGCGTGGGCACGCGCCGCAGCAGCAGGTACGACGCCGCGGGAAGGACGTACGAGAGCAGCACGCCGCACGTCGAGCCGAGGAAGCCCCACACGACGGACACGTCGTCCACGCTGGCGGTGCAGGCGAGCGAGAGGCCCATGATGCAGGAGGAGAGGACGACGCGCGTGGCGAGCGGCAGGTCACCCACCTCCTCTTTCACCCGGAACACCTCCCCGACGCTCGAGCCGCCCACGCTCGAGCCGCAGCTCGTCGCGAGCGGGTGCGACGGGCGGATCGACGGGGCAGCCTGCTGCGCCGCCGGCCCGCCCGCCCGCTCGTCGTCGTCCCACGAGTCGTAATCGCCGTGGTCGGCGCCGTCCGCGTCGGCGGCCGCCTCGCTGCCCAGGAGCCGCGCCCCGAGCAGCGGCGAGAGCCTCGAGAGAGCCGAGCGGACGGGCGAGCAGCACCAGAGCCGGCAACCTGGAGGAGGGAGGCGGTGGAGGGGGGTGGAAGCGGTGGAGGGGGGTGGAGGCAGTGGAGGGGGGTGGAGGCAGTGGAGGGGGGTGGAGGCGGTGGACGGGGGTGGCACCGCTCGGCGGGAA